CCCCCCCAGAGGAGCCCCATGATGCAGCTCACCCCGCGGCCCTCCACAACCTCTACCCTTCTCCACGCCACGCAGCCAACCCCCCTTTCCTTATTCCTTCCCTCTATGCAGCCCCCGTGCACGCACATACCCCGTCCCCTGCTCCTTCTGCACCCCACGCACATACCCCGTCCCCTACTCCTGCACCCCACGCCGCCAGCCCTTCCCGAACCGAACCCCACCATGCTCTGCCTGCCTTCAACCTGCACGCACAACTCTTCGCAGCGCTCCGGAGCCGGGTCCCCGCGTATTCCCGCAGGGGGAGCCGCTGCCTCGTGCTGCCGGTTTTTGCAGGGACAGGAGACCGCAAGGGGAAGTTGTGCATCAGTCTGTACGACCTCTGCACTGGGCTACGTGACTTGGGACACAGCCAGCCTCCTGGGGTGTGAGCAGTGCTATATAAAAGGCTGGGCACCTCCCCAAGCTAAGGCTGTGTCTGCAGTGCAGCTTCTGCCCCTCTCCTCCCGGCCAGGTAAATGCAGGGTCCCTTGTCTCTAGCGGCAGAGTGCATCTGGGATAGTGGATTAGAGGTTGTGACCTGCAGGGTGATAGGGGATTATGTAGCATCTGTGTAATAGCCTCTGCCGGTTGTGGTACCTAAATTGCCTCACTGATGAGATTGTAACTGGACACCCTTCGTTTCAGGTCTACAGTTGCCGCTATGGCCAACTTGGGCTTTTTCCAACTGCTAAGGAAAAACAAAGAAGTAAGTTTGCAAAAGAGCGTTGTTCTAAAATGATCCGAGCTGCCTTCCTGGCACTGACGAAGAGTCCTATGAACAAGTGCATGTTGAAGAGGTTACATTAAAACGTGAGATTTGCCAGATTAATAAAATGCACTCTCTAAAATAAAATGATGAATGTGCAGAAGTTGAAGACACACTGGAAGTGAGATGGTGCGATCGGCATATATGTTATGCCTTCTTTGCGGGAGTTTCACTTGCTTTAAAGCTTTTTAATTCATGTCTCCAGTGTGCATGGACCACCAAGAGAGATATTTTGTTCTTGAAAGCTTTGTTTTCTAACTTTTTGTCTTTCAGCTCATTCCTTTGATTGGTTTTGTGAGCTTGGCAGCAGGTGGGGCTCTAACTGCTTCTCTGTATTCCCTATGCACCAAAAGTGATGTGATGTAAGCATAATCCATTCCATATTTCTCTGAGTTATATGCTTGGTATTGAGTTTTCTTTCCTAAACCGATACCCTGAAGTCAATGAGGTGTATCAGAGTGGGGAGGGGGGAATTAGGGAAGATCTGACACTCAGCATTTTTTTAAATTAACATCTTAATCTTACAGATCATTAATTCTTCTATTATATTTTTGTAAAGAATTTACTCCAGTCTGTTATTCCCCAAACTGGATTAATTTTTGAATTTGTTGCTCAGAAAATTTATTTTTTGTCTTCACTATAAATGTAGTTTGAGCTAAAATGTTCTTGTGCAAAGTTTTAAATAGTGAATTCAAATAGCATTTAATATGTCTCAAATAGAGGAATGTGTTGAAAAGGAATCATTTTTACAACATTTTTTTACATTTTTTCTTCTGAGACAGAGGTACACAGATCACAATATGTCATTTCCAATAGCCGATAATATTCAGACTTTAAAAATTTAATTTTGCTAACACCTACTTAATTCAATCATCTAATGGTTTGGAAAAAATAAATCTTAATTTAAGATTTAATAACCTTGTGCCTTCAGTTAAAGGCAGCTTTCAATATACAGTGTAAATCTTCAAAGATTTCTGGCGGTTGTGGATGGCCTCTCAGACTGTGTCAGATCTCTTACTGGTACTGGTCTTAAGAGCTGCATTCTGGCTCACAGAAGTGCTGACTGACTGGGACGCAGAGGTGGAAGGTCCTATGGAAGACCATGCTTAATACTTCTAGCCAATAACCCAGCCTTCACTTCCTTTACCATCTCATTCAGTTTATTTCACATAACCTCATTCAAGGTATTTTATTAATAACTCTCTCTTTGAGATATTAAATCAGATCAATAAATAACAGACTGCTATTGCTCATATCTAG